TCTTCTTGTGTGGGCTGTGCTGTCTGCTTGCACTCGGTGAGCTGTGGCCACTGGAGCTCCAGGTCGTCCCTCTGACAAACAGCCGTCTCATTGCCTGAAGGATCGTTTTGTCCTCTGAAGGAACAGCGGTTTTATTCCCACATAACCAAACACATTCACCACGTGTCTAACAAAAATAACTGGCCCTTTTGCTCTCAAACCTTGAAATGCTTTCGATTAAAAAGCATTTCCAGAGAGGAAGGACGAATCCAGTGCCAAGGCACTCACAGTCACTGTGTGGGTTCCTTTTGATACATGACAGACGTCGGGTGTGTGGCAGGTTGTGATAATAGCCATCTCTCCCGTAGAGCATCCATTCTCATGAGGTCTGTAGAAAGTACTCGATGTTTGGATGGAGGATAGCATGCCCCATCTCCAGGAGACTTTTCCCCTTGGCCTTGAAAATAAGTCTCTTCTGCATTGCCCTCCTGTCTGTGTGACCATGTGATGATTCTGGGCTGAGCCCTCATCCCATGACATGTTTCCATGCCCTGGGTTCAGAATCAGGTGTTCAATTTCATCCTCAAAGCAGGGAACTTTCACAAGTTCCCCTACTTGTCTGCTGGAACATATAAATGTGATTTATATGAACTAAAAGAAAAAAAAATCCGCTCTTTTTCCAAGGGACATAGAAGATCTGACCAGTCATCTGTCTTGTGAATGCTCAGACTTTAAGTGAAGATGTGGAGGATACTGGCCTATTCCACACCCCGAGGAAGATGAAGAATTTCACAGCTCAGATGCACATCCCTTATGTCACAGCTCACTGCCAGGCCCCCAGAGCCTGGAAGAGAGGACCAGCAATGGCCACAGAGCAGCCCTCTGCATCGTGATGGGGCAGAACGGTACCCAAGCCTCCCCTCCTGATCTAACCATGAGGAGCACAGATGAGGGCCTGCAGCCTCCCCGACCAACCCCCAGGGCTCCCCTTGTGCCCAGAATAGAGCCCAGCTGCTCAGGTGGGCTGCTCAGCCTACCTCACACCCACACCCACCTGCTGCTCCTGGCTCCCCCCAGACATGCACCCTTCCTGCCACTGGGCCTTTGTGCCACTGACTCTCGCCTTATGCAATAAACAGTCTGCAGTCACCCCAGGCTCTCCCCTCCACGGCCTCCGTAGAAGGGCCAGTAAGAGGAAGGCTGGAGAGGAGGCCCCAGGCTGCGGGCTGGTGCTGCTGGTGCGAACCTTACCTGATCACCACTCACAGGGGGAACGACTCTGCTGGATCGATTCCCATGGCATGTTTGTGAGCTGAGGCTGTGGTGGCAACTACAGGGGACTCCCAAGAAGTGTGGCCTACGGAGATAAGGAGAAAGGAAACAGGAGAGGACCCTCCAGGAAACAGGACAGCAGAATGCAGGTATGGTGACCTCGACAGAGCAAATTCCGTCGTCACCCTGGAGGACGTGAGGAGGGGCCAGGGGATGGGGAGTCGGCAGCCGCCCTGCTAGGCCATGCTCTTGAATGACACAGAGAAACAGCGGCCTGTGGCACCAGGTCCTCACCGTTGGCACCTGAGGTCGATGAGTCCCTGTTGGGGACATTAGCCCTGCAGCGTCAGCTTAGCAGATGCCAGTAGCACCTCTCCCCATGGGTCTGTGACAGCTGTGAATACCTCCAGGTATTTCCGAATGTCCCCAGGATGCAGAATCACCCCTTAATTTGCCTCTGTGGATCTGGAGAGGGTTTCCGGGATGCCTCGACGCTCGGGGTCTGATCCCTTACTCCCAGGGGAGAGGGGCAATGTTCCATGAAGCAGGGTGCGGGGTCCTGAAAGGGGTGAAGGCAGCCCACGGTAGTGTGAACGCAGGGCCTGGTCAGACACCAGGAAAGCCGGCCTGGCCGTGACAGGTGGGTGCACACTCAGTGTTCTCGGTGGCTTTGGCCCTGCCGCCTCCAGGCAGAGCATCTTCCTCTCCAGGGACCTCAGGCTTTGCTCCTCCCTCCTGCGCGCCCCAGCCCTGTGGCTCCTGTCTCCTGCTGTTGGCCCCGGAAGGCATCTCAGTCTGTAGCCCTTGGAACAAAGCACCAGTGGTTGCCGGTGAAAAGGTCCACTGACAGGCACGGCGTCCCCACGTGCGCTGGCATGGGCGTTGGGCACGTCCTTCTCGCTTGCGGTGGGGGCTCCTGAACAGGGCCACCTCGTGGAGACAAGGCCGCGGCATGCTTCAGAGTTCCCGGGTTGTCGGGAGTTCTGCGTGACCAGGATCAGCCCCCAGAAGTACCAAGGCGGGCCAGTGACCGTCTGCCCACGGAGCTGCTGGGCTCCGGCCGACTTCCACCGGCAGAGGCCAGCTCCAGGACCTCAGGGTCCCACCACGGCCTCTCTCTGCTCTGATCGGAGACCCAGCCTGGCCTGGTCAGTCTTCTTGGTTGCCACCTGGGCTCCTGGGTCTGTGGGGAGGCCGTGCTGGGTGCGCAGCTTCACAGGCAACCACCCTCCGGGCCCCATTCG